ACAAATAATCTGCTCAGACCCCAACCAAGGAGCATCAAAAGTCGTGCTATAAATTCTCAAACAACACAAAAATTCATTGATGCCCTTCCAGACTCCTTCTGCCTACCCAAGGACGTCAGAGGACAAAAATCAGTTAACCACTTAACTGAGGAACTCAATTTAACCTTGCGCAATACCCTAGATGCAGTTGCACCCCTAAAAACGAAAAACATTTGTCATAAGAAACTAGCTCCCTGGTATACAGAAAATACCCGAGCTTTGAAGCAAGCTTCCAGGAAATTGGAACGGAAATGGCGCCACACCAAACTGGAAGTCTTCCGACTAGCTTGGAAAGACAGTACCGTGCAGTACCGAAGAGCCCTCACTGCTGCTCGATCATCCTACTTTTCCAACTTAATTGAGGAAAATAAGAACAATCCAAAATTTCTTTTTGATACTGTTGCAAAGCTAACTAAAAAGCAGCATTCCCCAAGAGAGGATGGCTTTCACTTCAGCAGTGATAAATTCATGAACTTCTTTGAGGAAAAGATCATGACCATTAGAAAGCAAATTACGGACTCCTCTTTGAATCTGCGTATTCCTCCAGGGCTTAGCTGTCCTGGATCTGCACAGCTCTGCGAGGGCCTGGGATCGGGAGAGACACTTAAGTGTTTTAGTACTATATCTCTTGACACAATGATGAAAATAATCATGGCCTCTAAACCTTCAAGCTGCATACTGGATCCTATTCCTACTAAACTGCTGAAGGAGCTGCTTCCTGTGCTTGGCCCTCCTATGTTGAACATAATAAACAGCTCTCTATCCACCGGATGTGTACCAAACTCACTAAAAGTGGCAGTGATAAAGCCTCTCTTGAAAAAGCCAAACCTTGACCCGGAAAATATAAAAAACTATCGGCCTATATCGAATCTTCCATTCCTCTCAAAAATTTTAGAAAAAGCTGTTGCGCAGCAACTCACTGCCTTTCTGAAGACAAACAATGTATACGAAATGCTTCAGTCTGGTTTTAGACCCCATCATAGCACTGAGACTGCACTTGTGAAGGTGGTAAATGACCTTTTAATGGCGTCAGACCGAGGCTCTGCATCTGTCCTCGTGCTACTAGACCTTAGTGCTGCCTTTGACACCATCGATCACCACATTCTTTTGGAGAGACTGGAAACCCAAATTGGTCTACACGGACAAGTTCTGGCCTGGTTTAGATCCTACCTGTCGGAAAGATATCAGTTTGTCTCTGTGAATGGTCTGTCCTCCGACAAATCAACTGTACATTTCGGTGTTCCTCAAGGTTCCGTTTTAGGACCACTATTGTTTTCACTATATATTTTACCTCTTGGGGATGTTATTCGAAAACATAATGTTAACTTTCACTGCTATGCGGATGACACACAGCTGTACATTTCAATGAAACATGGTGAAGCCCCAAAATTGCCCTCGCTAGAAGCCTGTGTTTCAGACATAAGGAAGTGGATGGCTGAAAACTTTTTACTTTTAAACTCGGACAAAACAGAGATGCTTGTTCTAGGTCCCAAGAAACAAAGAGATCTTCTGTTAAATCTGACAATTCATCTTGATGGTTGTAAAGTCGTCTCAAATAAAACTGTGAAGGACCTCGGCGTTACTCTTGACCCTGATCTCTCTTTTGACGAACATATCAAGACTGTTTCAAGGACAGCTTTTTTCCATCTACGTAACATTGCAAAAATCAGAAATTTTCTGTCCAAAAATGATGCAGAAAAATTAATCCATGCATTTGTTACTTCTAGGTTAGACTACTGCAATGCTCTATTTTCCGGCTACCCGGATAAAGCACTAAATAAACTTCAGTTAGTGCTAAATACGGCTGCTAGAATCCTGACTAGAACCAAGAAATTTGATCATATTACTCCAGTGCTAGCTTCCCTACACTGGCTTCCTGTTAAGGCAAGGGCTGATTTCAAGGTTTTACTGTTAACCTATAAAGCGTTACATGGGCTTGCTCCTACCTATCTTTCCGAGTTGGTCCTGCCGTACATACCAATACGTACGCTACGGTCACAAGACGCAGGCCTCCTAATTGTCCCTAGAATTTCTAAGCAAACAGCGGGAGGCAGGGCTTTCTCCTATAGATCTCCATTTTTATGGAACAGTCTGCCTACCCATGTGAGAGACGCAGACTCTGTCTCAACCTTTAAGTCTTTACTGAAGACCTATCTCTTCAGTAGGTCATATGATTGAGTGTAGTCTGGCCCAGGAGTGTGAAGGTGAACGGAAAGGCTGGAGCAACGAACAGCCCTTGCTGTCTCTGCCGGGCCGGTTCCCCTCTCCACTGGGGTTCTCTGCCTCTAACCCTGTTGCAGGGGCTGAGTCACTGGCTTGCTGGTGCTCTTTCATGCCGTCCCTGGGAGGGGTGCGTCACTTGAGTGGGTTGAGTTACTGACGTGATCTCCCTGTCTGGGTTGGCGCCCCCCCCCCTTGGTTTGTGCTGTGGTGGAGACCTCTGTGGGCTATACTCGGCCTTGTCTCAGGATTGTAAGTTGGTGGTTGGGGATATCCCTCTAGTGGTGCGGGGGCTGTGCTTTGGCGGAGTGGGTGGGGTTATATCCTTCCTGTTTGGCCCTGTCCGGGGGTTTCTTCGGATGGGGCCACAGTGTCTCCGGACCGCTCCTGTCTCAGCCTCCAGTATTTATGCTGCAGTAGTTTATGTGTCGGGGGGCTGGGGTTAGTTGGTTATACTTGGAGTACTTCTCCTGTCTTATCCAGTGTCCTGTGTGAATTTAAGTATGCTCTCTCTAATTCTCTCGTTCTCTCTTTCTCTCTGAAAACCTGAGCCCTAGGACCATACGTCAGGACTACCGGGCATGATGACACCTTGCTGTCCCCAGTCCGCCTGGCCTTGCTGCTATTCCAGTTTCAACTGTTCTGCCTGCGGCTACGAAACCCCTACCTGTCCCAGACCTGCTGTTTTCAACTCTTTAATGATCGGCTATGAAAAGCCAACTGAGAGACCTGAGCCCTAGGACCATACGTCGGGACTACCGGCCGTGGTGACTCCTTGCTGTCCCCAGTCCGCCTGGCCTTGCTGCTATTCCAGTTTCAACTGTTCTGCCTGCGGTTATGGAACCCCTACCTGTCCCAGACCTGCTGTTTTCAACTCTTAATGATCGGCTATGAAAAGCCAACTGAGATTTATTCCTGATTATTATTTGACCATGCTTGTCACTTATGAACATTTTTGAACATCTTGGCATGGTTCTGTTATAATCTCCACCCGGCACAGCCAGAAGAGGACTGGCCACCCCTCATAGCCTGGTTCCTCTCTAGGTTTCTTCCTAGGTTTTCGCCTTTCTAGGGAGTTTTTCCTAGCCACCGTGCTTCTACACCTGCATTACTAGCTGTTTGGGGTTTTAGGCTGGGTTTCTGTACAGCACTTCGAGATATTAGCTGATGTAAGAAGGGCTATATAAAATAAAATTGATTGATTGATTGATCCCTGGTCATCCCTACTGCCTCTGATCTGGCGGACTCACTAAACACACATGCTTTGTTTGTAAATGATGCCTGAGTGTTGGAGTATGTCCCTGGCTAACCATAAATAAATAAAAACAAAAAAATGGTGCAGCCTGGTTTGCTTGATATAAGGAACTTGAAATGATTTATACTTTTGATACTTAAGTATATTTAAAACCAAATACTTTTAGACTTTTACTCAAGTAGTATTTTACTGAGTGACTTTCACTTTTACTTGAGTCATTTTCTATTAAGGTATCTTTATTTTTACTCAAGTATGACAATTGGGTACTTTTTCCACTACTGGCCACTTCATATGCGCACTCTCGCTCCAGACTGGGAAAAATATCATTTATATTTTATTCAGCTAAGTTCAATTATATTCTTCTTACTATAAAATCATATCATATAAAATAATGACACGGGACTTATAAGCATATCTTGTCTGCTAAATGAATAAGCCTACAGCCTATGGCTTGGCACATAGCCAGATAACATACAGTAGGCCAACTCTGTTCTTCTGAAATACATTTTCTTCATATCATAATGTTTCTTTAGACCTGACTAAAATAAATAATGGATTTGGTGTATATTTAATTGATTTAGACTTTTTTAAATGTAGATGTTCCAAAGGCGCGCATCAGCGGCTTGTATGTGTGGAGGCCATGATTCACTCTCTACCATAACAATGTAATTAAATAAAGCCTCAAACTTTACAGCCAAGATGGAATATGACCATGTCATTCATCATGTGCAAATCTATAATATCCTTCACTCTTTTAATCTATAGGCAACATCTAGACCATTTCCAATATTCGGATGCTAATCAGCCCTCGGCTGAATGTCAGGTTGTGGTGGACAATCCAAACAGGTTGCAGATTAGATAATGGTATTAAACTAACCCAAGAAACAGCTGAAGCGAGTCATCCAAATTCAAGCTAAATGTAATGGCTACAACTCACATTTTTACAATTTCCACCTTCCCTGGAGTGGACACGCTCAATACCTTTCTGGCAACTTTACAAACCCATTCCACGTCAGGAATGGCTAGTTTTCTGAGAGGGGGTTTTGGGATGTGAAAATCTCTGAAAAAAGCTGGGAACAAGGCGTTAGTGGCTTTGGAGACTCGTGTCAGTCTCCTATGTAGGAGGCCTATAGCAAGACCCACCTTCCACCAGAGTGAAATATGTCCACAATGTGGAACATCATAGGCCTGAATGAGACTGCCAAAGCAACATGCCAGAGCTGATTAATGAGAGACTTACAGAATGGATTTGAATCTCAATGCCAACCTGTTGCTTAAACAGACAATAATTGACTTCTATTAAACTGCTCCCCCACCCTGTAATTCAAAACATTTGTGACCCTTGTGTGTTGGAGACTCGATGATGCATACTTTGTCAAATCCTGCCACGCAACAAGGGAGTGAAAATTATTGGGTGAGGGGGAAAGGATCTTGTTGGCATGTATTGTTTGAGGCAAAATCTCAGGAAATACGAAGGTGTCAAAAAATGGCCATCGCTGTAACAGCAACACAGGGAGCTTTCATTTCTCAGGACTATGATTGCTACTTTCTCTCACCCTGGCAGAGTAATTGATTTGATATGGGCACTGGCCAGTGTAATCTTCTTTTAATTAAGACCTGCTACTAGCAGAGAGAGCATGAACACTGACTGACTGTCTGCTCTCCTTTTACCTTCTCTTCCTCTCTCTTCCTGGTCTTTCAATTCCTCCTCTCCTCTCTCCTCCCTCCTTTAGTCCCAGCACCATGAGGATGAGAAAAGAGAGCTGAGTCGGGAGATCATCGTCCTCAACAATCACCTCCTGGAGGCCAAGATCACCATTGAAAAGCTCAGAGAGGACAACGTGAGTATACTGTATAGCCAGTCACTGTGCAAAATCCTTACTTCATCAGGTTTTTGAGTGATTCACTGAAACAACTACACGGCCAATTACACAACCAGTGCCTGGTGGTGGCCCTGCCACCTGTGCCACCTCTAACATGAACCCAACATAAAAACTGTGTAGCTCAGTTGGTAGAGCATGGCGCTTGCAACGCCAGGGTTGTGGGTTCGTTTCCCACGGGGGGCCAGTATTACTAACTGTAAGTCGCTCTGGATAAGAGCGTCTGCTAAATGGCTAAAATGTAAATGTAAAATGTAACTCATAGTACATTCTTTGAAGTGCTATTGTAGAGAGAGAGCGATACAGTGCCGTGAAAAAGTATTTGCCCCCTTTCAGATATTCTATTTTTGCATATTTTTTATACTGAATGTCATCAGATCTTCAACCAAAACCTAATATTAGATAAAGGGAACCTGAGTTTAGAAATAAGATTTTTTAAACTTATTTTATTTCCCCTGTGTGAAAAAGTAATTTCCCCCTTACACTCAATAACTGGTTGTGCCAACTTTAGATGCAATGACTGCAACCAAATGCTTCCTGTAGTTGTTGATCAGTCTCTCATAACGCTGTGGAGGAATTTTGGCCCACTCTTGTATGCAGAACTGCTTTAACTCATTTGTGGACGACATGGGTCCCATTGTGCCTGGCGAAAACCAAACACTGCATTCTACAGTAAGAACCTTATATCAACGATCAAGCATGGTGGTGGTCATCCCAGACCTAATCCCAATTGAGATGTTGTGGTAGGACTTGAAACGAGCAGTTCATGCTTGAAAACCCCCAAACGTCGCTGAGTTAAAGCAGTTCTGCATGGAAGAGTGGGCCAAAATGTATCCACAGCGACATGAGACTGATCAACAACTACAGGAAGCATTTGGTTGGAGTCATTGCAGCGAAAGGTGACACAACCAGTTATTGAGTGTAAGGGGGCAATAACTTTTTCACAGAGGGGCATTGGGTGTTGCATAACTTAGTTTATGAAATTAGAAAGGGGGCAAATACTTTTTCACAGCATACAGTATATGCTCTTTCCTGGAAATAGACTGACTAGATGAATCCAGGTGAAAGCTATGATCTCTTATTGATGTGACTTGTTAAATCCACTTCAAATCAGTGTAGATAAAGGGGAGGAGACTGGTTAAAGAATAATTTGTAAGCCTTGAGACATTACTTGTGTATGTGTGCCATTCAGAGGGTGAATGGGTAAGATAAGTGCCTTTGAACGGGGTATGGTAGTAGGTGCCAGGCGCACTGGTTTGAGTGTGTCAAGAACGGTTTCCCGTGTGTATCAAGAATGGTCCCCTACCCAAAGGACATCCAGCCAACTTGATACAACTGTGAGAAGCATTGGAGTCAACATGGGCCAGCATCCCTGTGGAACGCTTGACACCTTGTAGAGTCCATGCACCGACGAATTGAGGCTGTTCTGAGGGAAAAAGGGGGTGCAACTCAATATTAGGAAGGTGTTCCTAATGTTCTGTACTCTGTGTACAGTAGTTACTCCTAAATCAATAGGGGATTCGAGACTGTAAGCAGGTTTAAAGCTAGAGAGTCTGGATTTAGCCCTGAGGACCTACTGTGTCAATCTACGGTCTTAGTCTCTTTGATGTGAATGCCCAAGCATCTGCCTAGCATCGCACTCTACCTAGCTCTCTGCAGGGCTGCTGTGCTAGCTAGACACATCTGAGCCATTGGGTATGGTGAGAATCCCCTTGGATCCAGGGAGGCTGATTGGGGTCAGAATTGGGTCTTACAGGATAACTTTATCTGTTAGGAGAAGGCAGCCATTTTGTCTTCAGGGAATGCTTTGAATTAATTGGAGATGGCGGAATTATTCTAATGTGAGGAAGACCAAATAAGCCATTAGGTTGTCTCTGGCTGAGTTTAACGATGTGGAAGGAAGAGTTTGGTATAACGGTAAATGTGTCTTTTGTCGCCTATTTTTGGGGGTAGCTGCTGCTGTTAGCAACAGGTTTCACAGCTAGCCATTTTCCTCTGGTTGCAGCCACAAGCTATTCTCTCAGTTAGTATGGCACTTCTTCACATCACAGAGTCCAGAGAGAAAACTACATGGCTGACATTGAGAGAGACATCAATGCCTGGACTAGACAGGTATTTGTCCTGCCTTCAAACTACCACAGTCCCAATTGTTCTGTATGTGAAAAAGAAATAGCTTGAAAAGCGGACACAGTTAACTAGGAGGAGAATTGAAGCTGTCAAAGAAATGCCTTTGTTTATGAGAGGGCTGTCAGATTTTGCTGTGTCACAGAGGAGTTGCAGTGGAAAATAGAGAGCATGGATACACAGACTGACAGAGAGGAAGCTTATTAGCCTAGCCTCTAGTCTAGAGGAGAAGAACCCATTTCAGAAGCCCCGTACTGAAATTAAACAGTGAAGAGCTGTATTTCAATAGAAAAAAGTTCCTCAGAGTTAACACGATTTTGCAGATCATTAATGCCATTGTCAGCGCCCCAGGGGTCTGATGAGAAAAACAAGCACAATTTTTCTGGGCGGATGGATTTGTTCCGTGGCCGATGATGCGTTTGTTACTTCGATTGGGTTCTCCCTAAGTGTTAGACCCTCAGAGCTTTAAATTGAAGTAAACTTTTGGGGTTGTCACAAGATGGTTGAGGGGGAAAACAGCTTCAGGATGTAGCAATCAATCTGGAATATTTTATTCGGGGGCATTCTTTTTTGTTTGTCAAGCATTGGTAGGTAAGCGATGCCACATGCTGAAATGACTGTTTGGTCCCATTCTACTCCGTTGTCCTAATACCATGTCATTACATGTAGTAACCTATTTGAAACAAATTTTGGTCAGTTACTCCCATTACAATTCATACAGTTCTTAGTCAGCATTGACATCCCAACCTATGAATCAACAGTGTTTATCTTTCCCATGCCAGGACCTGTACAGGAAGGACTGTAACCTGGCAGCACAGCTCCTCCAATGTTCCAAGTCACACCACAGAGCCCACAAGCTATCTGAGGTGAGTTCTGCTCTGCTCTCCACTCACACTAACAAATAGCCCCTTCTGTCTGGCTCTTGATGGCCACTTATTACTTCCCCTGTTGATTTCACCGTACAACCTGAGTACAAAAGAGGACAAACCGTCTCCGACAACATCTAGTCCACTCGAAGGGGAGTAGGAAGTGAGCTATGAGAGAAAATCCTCACAATTCCTCATCGAAATTCCTCAAAGACGTGGGACTATCTTTTAAATGTAAGGTCACGCATATATGGACAAAGTAGTAATGCAGCTATGGTATGAAATTGACAGAGTTATTGGAGGTACTGTAGAATATCAGCATCCACAGCTGGCACCCCACAATCATACTCCGATGAAATATAAGTGATTGGCTTTTGAAAGCACATTCCTTGTTTCGAGTCGACTGAAAGTGAGACGCAGCACTAGTAATGAATGTCAATGACCAATTCCAGAGCATTGACGAATCCATCAAAACTGCAGTGGTGAATATAGCTGAGTGCGATCAAAGGGATGCTGTATGATTTTCATTGGGACTTAACTCTGCTAATTACCAGCCAGAGAAATGTATCGTGTACAGAGGAGCCCCTCAGGAAAGCTAATGAAAACGGCGTGTTGGAGGCAAAATTTAGCCCTGCAGTCTCACCTACTTTTCCACTCAATTCTCAAATGGGGAAAGCAGGCTGCTAAAAAAAGCTCCATACTTCAAACACTGGTCTTTTTCTGCCGGGTGTCTATTTTCAACACAAAAGTAACAGTGGGAATTGTCTCTTTTTTATTCTCAGCTGGAGACCTTGAGCACTGGTCTAATTTAAATATAAGCTGCTCCCAGTGATTTTTGTATTACTGGCGTACACACAATTTTTACAAATTAATAGAAAATGAAAAGCTGAAATGTCTTGAGTTAATAAGTATTCAACCTCTTTGTTATGGCAAGCCTAAATAAGTTCAGGAGTAAAAATTGGACACAATAATAGTGTTGAACATTTTATTGACTACCTCATCTCTGTACCCCACATACAATTATCTGTAAGATCCCTCATTCAAGCATTTAATTTCAAACACAGCTCAACCACAAAGACCAGGGAGGTTTTCCAAGAAGGGCACCTATTTATAGATGGCAAAAGAAATATGCAGACATTGAATATCCCTTTGAGCATTGTGAAGTTATTAATTACACTTTGGACAGTGTATCAATACACCCAGTCACTACAAAGATACAGGCGTTCTTCCTAACTCAGTTGCTGGAGAGGAAGGAAATCACGCAGGAATTTCACTATGAGGCCAATGGTGACTTTAAAACAGTTACAGAGTTTAATGGCTGTGATAGGAGAAATCTGAGGATGGATCAACAACATTGTAGATACTCCACAATACTAACCTAAATGACAGAGTGAAAAGAAGGAGCCTGTACTGAATAAAAATATTTCAAAACATGCATCCTGTTCGCAAAAAGACAAAAGTAATATTGCAAAAAATGTGGCAAAGCAATTCACTTTATGTCCTGAATACAAAGTGTTATGTTTGGGGCAAATCCAACACAACACATTACTGAGTACCACTCTCCATATTTTCAAGGTGGCTGCATCATGTTATGGGTATGCTTGTAATCGTTAAGGACTTGGGAGTTTTATAGGATAAAAAAAAGAAATGGAATGGAGCTAAGCCCAGGCAAATCCTAGAGGAATATTTCTGGTTCAGTCTGCTTTCCACCAGACACTGGGAGATTCATTCACCTTTCAGCAGGGCAATAACCTAAACACAAGGCCAAATCTACATTGGAGTTGCTTACCAAGAAGAGAGTTAATGTTCCTGAGTAGCCGAGTTACATGTTCAACTTAAATCTACTTGAAAATCTATGGCAAGACCTGAAAAAGGTTGTCTAGCAATGAACAACAACCAATTTGACAGAGCTTGAACATTTTAAAGAATAGTGGGCAAATGTTCCACAATCCAGATGTGGAAAGCCCAGAAAGACTCACAGCAGTAATCGCTGCCAAAGGTGATTCTACAAAGTATTGACTCAGGGGTGTGAATACTTATGTAAATTAGATATTTTTGTATTTCATTTTCAATAAATGTGCAAACCTTTGGAGGTATTGTGTGTAGAGTGGGTGAGAACAAAAATATATTTAATCCATTTTGAATTCAGGCTGTGACAACAAAATGTGGAATAAGTAAAGGGTTATGAATACTTTCTGAAGGCACAGTACAAGTGTGTATTGATGAAAGTGGGTGTGTGTCTGTGTCTTGATGTACCTCTGTCCATGCTGATGGATGTATCCTACAACTCAGCGAAGTAAACATCTGAGAAATTAGAAGAAAAAGAAGAGCCAAAGCACAGCAGTGGTTGTGGTCAGTTCATTAGAGAGGGCAGAGTAGTGCAAGTCCCACCGGTGTCTCCGAGCTGGTCTGAGTAAACACACAATAATAACTTACTTCTCTAAACTCAACCTCGATTGGAGCCTAGGGAACAGCATTGACAAAACAGCTGTGCGGATGTGGCAAGCATTCGATAATGGAGTGGTTGTGAATACAGTACCAGTCAAAAGTTTGGACACACCTACTCATTCAAGGGTTTTTCTTTATTTTGACCATTTTCTACATTGTAGAATAATAGTGAAGACATCAAAACTATGAAATAACACATATGGAATCATGTAGTAACCAAAAAAAGTGTTAAACAAATCACAATCTATTTTAGATTTGAGATTCTTCAAATAGCCACCCTTTGCCTTGATGACAGCTTTGCACACTCTTGGCATTCTCTAAACCAGCTTCATGAGGAATTATTTTCCAACAGTCTTGAAGGAGTTCCCACATACAGTTGAAGTCGGAAGTTTACATACACTAAGTTGACTGTACCTTTAAACAGCTTGGAAAATTCCAGAGAATTATGTCTACCTTCAAACTCAGTGCCTCAGAAAATTAATTGTAGACCTCCACAAGTCTGGTTCATCCTTGGGAGCAATTTCCAAACGCCTGAAGGTACCACGTTCATCTGTACAAACAATAGTACGCAAGTATAAACACCATGGGACCACGCAGCCATCATACCGCTCAGGAAGGAGACGCGTTCTGTCTCCTAGAGATGAACGTACTTTGGTGCGAAAAGTGCAAATCAATCCCAGAACAACAGCAAAGGACCTTGTGAAGATGCTGGAGGAAACAGGTACAAAAGTATCTATATCCACAGTAAAACCAGTCCTATATCGACATAACCTGAAAGCCCGCTCAGCAAGGAAGAAGCCACTGCTACAAAACAGCCATAAAAAAAAGCCAGAGTACGGTTTGCAACTGCACATGGGTACAAATATCATACTTTTTGGAGAAATGTCCTCTGGTCTGATGAAACAAAAATAGAACTGTTTGGCCATAATGACCATCGTTATGTTTGGAGGAAAAAGGGGAAGGCTTGCAAGCCGAAGAACACCATCCCAACCGTGAAGCACGGGGGTGGCAGCATCATGCTGTGGGGGTGCTTTGCTGCAGGAGGGACTGGTGCACTTCACAAAATAGATGGCATCATGAGGAAGGAAAATTATGTGGATATATTGAAGCAACATCTCAAGACATCAGTCAGGAAGTTAAAGCTTGGTCGCAAATGGGTCTTCCAAATGGACAATGACCCCAAGCATACTTCCAAAGTTGTGGCAAAATGGCTTAAGGACAACAAAGTCAAGGTATTGTAGTGGCCATTACAAAGCTCTGACCTCAATCCTATAGAAAATTTGTGGGCAGAACTGAAAAAGTGTGTGCGAACAAGGAGGCCTACAAACCTGACTCAGTTACACCAGCTCTGTCAGGAGGAATGGGCCAAAATTCACCCAACTTATTGTGGGAAGCTTGTGGAAGGCTACCCGAAACGTTTGACCCAAGTTAAACAATTTAAAGGCAATGCTACCAAATACTAATTGAGTGTATGTAAACTTCAGACCCACTGGGAATGTGATGAAATATATAAAATCTGAAATAAATCATTCTCTCTACTATTATTCTGACATTTCACTTTCTTAAAATAAAGTGGTGATCCTAACTGACCTAAGACAGATACTTTTTACCAGGATTAAATGTTAAGAATTGTGAAAAACTGAGTTTATATGTATTTGGCTAAGGTGTATGTAAACATCCGACTTCAACTGTATGTTGAGCACTTGTTGGCTGCTTTTCCTTCACTCTGCGGTCCAACTCATCCCAAACCATCTCAATTGGGTTGAGGTCGGGTGATTGTGGAGGCCAGGTCATCTGATGCAGCACTCCATCACTCTCCTTCTTGGTCAAATAGCCCTTACACAGCCTGGAGGTGTGTTTAGGGTCATTGTCCTGTTGAAAAACTAATTATAGTCCCACTAAGCACAAACCAGATGGGATGGCGTATCACTGCAGAATGCTGTGGTAGCCATGCTGTTTAAGTGTGCCTTGAATTCTTAATAAATCACAGACAGTGTCACCAGCAAAGCACCCCCACACCACCTCCTCCTCCATGCTTCACGGTTGGAACCACACCTGCAGAGATAATCCATTCACCTACTCTGCGTCTCACAAAGACACGGTGGTTGGAACTAAAAATCTCAAATTTGGACTCATCAGACCAAAGGACAGATTTCCACCGGTCTAATGTCCATTGCTCATGTTTCTTGGCCCAAGCAAGTCTCTTCTTCTTATTGGTGTCCTTAAGTAGTGGTTTCTTTGCAGCAATTCGACCATGAAGGCCTGATTCACGCAGTCTCCTTTGAACAGTTGATGTTGAGATGTGTCTGTTACTTAAACTCTTTGAAGCATTTTTTTGGGCTGCAATCTGAGGCTGGTAACTAATGGATTTATCATCTGCAGCAGAGGTAACTCTGGGTCTTCCTTTCCTGTGGCGGTCCTCATGAGAGCCAGTTTCATCATAGCGCTTGATGGTTTTTGCGACTGCACTTGAAGAAACATTCAAAGTTCTTTTTCCGGATTGACTGACCTTCATGTCTTAAAGCAATGATGGACTGTCGTTTCTCTTTGCTTATTTGAGCTGTTCTTGCCATAATATGGACTTGATCTTTTACCAAATAGGGCTATCTTCTGTATACCACCCCTACCTTGTCACAACACAACTGATTGGCTCAAACGCATTAAGAAGGAAATCAATTCCTCAAATTAACTTTTAAGAAGACACACCTGTTAATTGAAATGCATTCCAGGTGACTACCTCATGAAGCTGGTTGAGAGAATGCTAAGAGTGTACAAAGCTGTCATCAAGGCAAAGGGTGGCTATTTGAAGAATCTCAAATATAAAATATATTTTGATTTGTTTAACACTTTTTTGTTTACTACATGATTCCATATGTGTTATTTCATAGTTTTTATGTCTTCACTATTATTCTACAATGTAGAAAATAGTAAAAATAAAGAAAGCCCCTGGAATGAGTAGGTGTGTCCAAACTTTTGACTGGTACTATATGTACGGGGAGATTTGATAGTGGTTGTCAGCATTGTATGAATCTATATGCCGGAGTCTATTTTTAGGAATGCTTCGTTGTAGAGAAAGTTATGCTGGTAAAATCTCTATAACATTGTTAGAGCAGTAGTAGTCCTCATTTGTTATTTATTGCTGTAATTTCTGAATCAGTTTCTCTTAAATTCAATCCCATTTCTTCCTTTATGTTTGTCTATCCAGGTTTCTCTCCTTCCTCTCTTAATATTTCTCCTCACCAACTCTCTCTCTCTCTCTCTAGCTGCCCATTGACTTCCAGGAGCGGGTGAGCTCCCACATAGAGAAGCACGCACGCGGCGTCACAATGGCGCCGTGCCACTCATCCTACTCTGATGCTGTGCCCACCGCCGTCATCGCCAAGGTGCTAGAGAAGCCCGAACCGGGCAGCAGCTGCCCAGTCACCCGCTCGCCCAGCCCACAGCCATTGGTGGCTGAGGGCCATGACCGTGACTTCGTGCCCAATAGCGTGGGTGGTGAAAGCCTTCAGCGCCGTACTGCCTACCGGACTGCCGACCTGTACTGCAGCGACACGGCCCTCTACTGCCCTGAGCGCTGGCAGGAGCGTAGGCAGAGCGTAGACGTCCACGGCCTCCCCATGGGTCTCCTCCTCCAGGCCCAGAACTCCACCGACTCCAACCCTGAGGAGGTGGCCTTCCATTCAGGTAACTTCTCCCAACACAGGGCCCCCTCCTTCCACGGAGAGTTTACGGTGGGCTCCTTGCCGGCCTCTAGCTCCTACTCCAGCTTCAGCCAGGCGTCGGAGGAGGAGAAGGGAGGTGAAGGCTGCGACGGCGGCCCCGGCAGCACCATGTCCTCCTCCCACCAGGCGCTCTACATGGACTGGCGGGACTGGGGGTACGGCAAGCGCAAGAGCACCTCATCCTATGAGAAGGACAGCCCTCCCAGCTCCAGCCTCTTCCCCAAGTCCCACAGCTTCCAGCACATGGCGATGCCGCCTTCCCCCAACCCGGCGAAAGGCGGCGGCGGCTCTTCGCCAGCGTACGTGCGCACGCCGTCCTGTGCCTACAGTGAGCCGTACCACTCGCCCCGCCTAGCATCGTCGCACAGCGTGGGCTCGGCCCAGGGTGGAGGAGGACCCCGGGCGGTGGAGCGCTCTGACAGCCAGGCCAGCATGGGCAGCATGGGTATCCCCACGGAAGAGGAACTGACTGGACGCTGGAGGCAGCTGAGTGTGGAGGACATCAACTCGTACTCCTACAACCGCAATCCGGGTCGCATGTCTCCCTACAGCTTTTCCGAGCAGCACTTTGCCATAGGCCCAGCCAAGCTCAAACTGGGGCCCCTCTACAGCAGCTTCCAGGAAGGGGACGACAACGTCTCTCTCCACAACAGTGTGCTGGACCAGTGCTTGGCCGCTGCTGTCAGTGGTGGCGGACTCTCACCCAGTCCCAGCCCCAAACACCCCAGTATGGGCCTGCGGGGCAAGCCAGACAAGCCCCAGCCCCTTTACAGAGCCAAGGAGGACAGCCAGGATTCAGAGTGCAGCCTGCAGTTCCTCTCAGGGAACTTGAAGGATAAGGACAGCGGGGCGGCTGGAGCGGCACGGGGGACCATGAACAAGGAATATGTGGATGTGAGCCCCAACAGCTTGGCCGAGTCCTTACACCACCAAACCTCCCTGGAAGCCTCCTGTTTGCAGCAGCAACCCTACCAGAGGGAGAGAGTGAGGCCCAGCCTGAGCCCAGCTCTTCCCAAGAAGAGTTCTCAACAACACCAACAATTTGGAAGCACAGGAACAGGACTTAGCAGGAAGGACAGTCTGACCAAGGCCCAGCTGTACGGCACCCTCCTGAACTGAACAGCTCGGTAACACTTTACCTGACCGGTATAATGCATTATGATGCGGTTATAATTAATTGTAAGACTTGTCATAAGCACGTATGACCCCTTATAAAAAGTTGTATTATTATCTCAATGACTAAATAACAGCCATTTTGAGCAAGTTGAAAATATGCTTAATAAAAAGGACATCATATATTGTAAACCTTGTAATAAGACATAAAAGCTCATACCTGCTTATAACAAGTAATAAAACATACATCATTATACCGGTCGGCTTGAAGTAGTGTTACCAACAGCTTCTCCTCTTATGCATGGTGATTATGTACATCTCCATGTTTCCTGTGGCAAACACACAGTTGGCATGGATTTGTAATTTTTTGTAATCCGGTGAAGGCAAGTTTCAAGCTGTCATATGCTACACAGCTGTTGTTACTTGGCTGTTTGTTTATATGGTATTATACGGTGTAGCTATCAGAGAGACTAGCCACCAGATTTCCGTACCGTTTCCTACAGTATATCATCCCGTATTCTTTACCATGGCATAGCACCAACTAAAGGCTACATATTATGTATAGGATATCCTGCTGACTCGAAAGCTGTAACACAACTTCCAAGGCCTCATTTTCTCATGGACAAACTGCATGTTATGTTATGTTATGCATATACAGTGCATTTGGAAAGTATTCAGACCCCTTGACTTTTTCCACATTTTGTTATGTTACAGCCTTATTCTAAAATTGATTAAACAGTTTTTTCCCCCTCATCAATCTATACACAATACCCCATAATGACAAAGCAAAAACTGGTTTTTAGAAATGTATGCAAATGTATTAAAAATAAAAAACTGAAATAAACATTTACATAAGTATTTAGACCCTTTACTCAGTACAGTATGACGCTACAAGCTCTCAGTCCCTGCTGCTGAAAAACATCCCCACAGCATGATGCTGCCACCACCATGCTTCACCGTAGGGATTGTGTCAGGTTTCCTCCAGACGTGACGCTTGGCATTCAGGCCAAAGACTTCAATCTTGGTTTCATCAGACCAGAGAATCTTGTTTCTCATGGTCTGATAGTCTTTAGGTGCCTTTTGGCAAACTCCAAGTGGGCTGTCATGTGCCTTTTACTGAGGAGTGGCTTCCATCTGGCCACTCTACCATAAAGGCCTGATTGGTGGAGTGCTGCAGAGATGGTTGTCCTTCTGGAAGGTTCTCCCATCTCCACAGAGGAACTCTGGAGCTCTGTCAGAGTTACCATCGGGTTCTTGGTCACCTCCCTGACCAAGGCCCTTCTCTGCCGATTGCTCAGTTTGGCTGGGCGACCAGCTATAGGAAGAGTCTTGGTGGTTCCAAACTTCTTCCATTTAAGAATGATGGAGGCCACTGTGTTCTTGGGGACCTTCGATACTGCAGACATTTTTTGGTACCCTTCCCCAGATCTGTGCCTCGACACAATCCTATCTCGGAGCTCTACAGACAATTCCTTCGACCTCATGGCTTGGTTTTTGCTCTGACATGCACTGTCAACTGTGGGACCTTATATAGACAGGTGTGTGCCTTTCCAAATCATGTCCAATCATTTGAATTTGACACAGGTGGACTCCAATCAAGTTGTAGAAACATCAAGGATGATCAATGGAAACAGGATGCACCTGAGCTCAATTTCGAGTCTCATAGCAAAAGGTCTGTAAATAAGGTATCTGTTTTTTATATTGAATACATTTGCACAAAAATTGGGTATTGTGTGTAGATTGATGAGGAAAAATAACAATGTAATTAATTTGTAACGTAACAAAATGTGGAAAAAGGGAAGGGGTCTGAATACTTTCTGAATGCACTGTATGAAAAGTGTTTCTTACCCTTTCTAACCCTAGAGTGATTTCTTCTAGGCAGCAACTCATGGTTAGCTCCTGAACATTGGGCAGGGACTACAGAAATAAATTTAAAAAAGTTAATTTCTCTTATCCAATTTACATGCATATTGATACTTAGGAGTAAACACGTCTGAAAAATAAATTTGGCATGCACTGGAATTCGATTAATCAAAGGCAGCTTTAAAAAGAATAGACTGTTAATAACACCATTTCAAAGCTGGTGGAGCAGTATGGGGGTATTTTCCTGCCAATAATACAGAAAATATAAGGAATTTATGTACAAAATATCCCCACAGAGCAGACTGACAATCCTTTAGCTAAAAAGTGAGATATTGATAAATTATTTTAAAAGTTGCAAAGCAGGGTGTAAATTATTCCATGTACCTGGGCTAGTTTTACTCTAAATATTTCATGTAGGAATTTGGCCCAAGCACCTAATGTCTCAACTAAGCAGTTTTGAATGTCCAAATTGTAAAAGAGCATGAATTCAATGCTGTTGCATGATTTCATGAATACCCAACCACTAGCTAGTACATTTAGCCTTAATTCTGTTCTGTAGCAAGTCTTCTCCTTTTCAACACATCTGACAGTAGTGTGTGTTTATGTTGTTATTAAATGTTAATTAATATACCAGTCAGGTTTCCTACTCTACAATCTTGAACATTGTTGGCATCAGCCACATTGATCTCTAACCAAAACAAAGCATTTCTTTCTCTGACGAGTCCTCTCACTGTGACGTTTTTGGAGAATAAACTTCCCCCAAAACTTTAAGACCAGGACATGTCGTTCATGCCCTGGTCTCAGGATACCATCTGGGGAAGGTGGACACCTGCAAAATGCTGCTGAAGCCAGGGACAGAGAGGGCACAGAGGCAGTTCCACCCATCTGAGCACTGGCATCACTGTAGCTCTTCCACCAGGCGGCCATTTTGGTTCTTTCTGTCCATTTTTGCAGAGGTAACATTGTGCACAGACCTGATGGTTTCCCTAAATCTAAACTACTGTACAGAAGTGGCCCCTATTCTGATCCCCAAAGACAGAGTATTTTTGTTGTGGATGTAATAAGAAATATATATATATATATATATAATCGTTACTATTTATATTTTTATCCTGGTTATGTTGATGTTCTTTACTTTGACCCCTGAATAAATGTCCTCCTGTCCTGTTCTACCTCAGACTACGTACGACAAATAACTTTTCAAGGACCAACAGGCCAGCTGGTTGTTTGATGCATGTTTCTATATTTTTGCTGTATGTTTATTTACTTAATAAAGAGGAGGAGGTTTTGCATTATGATGCATTACATGACACTATACAATTATTTGGCAGCCATGTCAAATCAAATCAAATTTTATTGGTCACATATACATATTTAGCAGATGTTATTGCAGGTTTGGCGAAATGCTTCAGTGCAGTAGTTTCTAACAATACACACATCTAAAAGTAAAATAATGGAATTAAGAAATATATAAATATTAGGACGAGCAATGTCGGAGTGACATTGACTAAAATACAGTAGAATAGAATACAGTATAAACATATGAAATGAGTAAAGCAGTATGTAAACATTATTAAAGTGACCAGTGATTCCATGTCTGTGTATATAGGGCAGCAGCCTCTAAGGTGTGACATTGGGTGCTGTAGGTGACCTGGAGGGCAGGCAGTGTGCCCCCGGTGATGCGTTGGGCAGCCCTGCGGTTGCGGGCGGTGCAGTTGACGTACCAGGCGGTGATACAGCCCGACAGGATGCGCTCAATTGTGCATCTGTAAAAGTTTGTGAGGGTCTTAGGGGCCAAGCCCAATTTCTTCAGCCTCCTGAGGTTGAAGAGGCGCTGTTGCGCCTTCTTCACCACACTGTCTGTGTGGGTGGACCATTTCAGACTGTCAGGAACTTGAAGCTTTTCACCTTCTCCACTGCGGTCCCGTCGATGTGGATAGGGACGTGTTCCCGCTGCTGTTTCCTGAAGTCCACGATCAGCTCCTTCGTTTTGTTGACGTTGAGGGAGAGGTTATTTTCTTGGCACCACTTTGCCAGGGCCCTCACCTCCTCCCTGTGGGCTCTCGTCATTGTTAGCTCTCCATTAACATTACATGGGGAATATAATGTCTAGAAGAGAAGGAGCATTATGATGCATTTATATGACACGTCAAAATTCTATGGCAGCCATGTTAGCTCCCCCATTAATATTACATAGGGGAATATTTAAAACAAATGCTTAGAATTACAACAATATTCAACATTTTAAAAGATGTCTGTCCTCTTCTAAATATATGGCTCTGATCCATTATATTTGCAGTAACTGTTCGTTCTGGTCGTCCTGCCCCCAAAGCCAATTTCTGATCCTAGATTGGGGGCTCATCTGGGATCGGCCCTAGTTTAGGGGCTTGTCCAGGATCGGCCCTAGATTGGGGGCTTGTCCAGGATCGGGCCTAAATTAAAGGAAGTAAACTGGGTGGCAGGTCGACCAGACTGAACAGTTTGGAGTGCGCGCCTTGCCTCGCTCAGACATAAACAGGTGAGAAGAGGAGGATAAAAGGAACATCAGCAGTTAAGATTAAGGTAATCTAAAGTAAAATAATACACTATAATCTTGTATAATTTCATTGCTGCATTTGACATTATTTGTTACATTTAATCTTATGTATTTAGATGTCACTCACTACCAGCAGATAGGTGTATTTACAGTTGAAGTCGTAAGTTTACATACACTTAGGTTGGAGTCATTAAAACTAGTTTTTCAACCACTCCACAAATTTCTTGTTAACAAACTATAGTTTTGGCAAGTCGGTTAGGACATCTACTTTGTGCATAACATAAGTAATTTTTCAAACAAATGTTTACAGACAGATTATTTCACTTATAATTCACTGTATCACAATTTCAGTGGGTGAGAAGTTTACATACACTAAGTTGACTGTGCCTTTAAACAGCTTGGAAAATTCCAGAAAATGATGTCATGGCTTTAGAAGCTTCTGATAGGCTAATTGACATCATTTGAGTCAATTTGAGGTGTACCTGTGGATGTATTTCAAGACCTACCTTCAAACTCAGTGCCTCTTTGCTTGACATCATTGTAAAATCAAAAGAAATCATCCAAGACCTCAGAAAAAAAATTGTAGACCTCCACAAGTCTGGTTCATCCTTTGGAGCAATTTCCAAACGCCTGAAGGTACCACGTTCATCTGTACAAACAATAGTATGCAAGTATAACCACCATGGGACCACGCAGCCATCATACCGCTCAGGAAGGAGACGCATTCTGTCTCCTAGAGATGAACGTACTTTGGTGCGAAAAGTGCAAATCAATCCCAGAACAACAGCAAACGACCTTGTGAAGATGCTGGAGGAAACAGGTACAAAAGTATCTATATCCACAGTAAAACCAGTCCTATATCGACATAACCTGAAAGGCCGCTCAGCAAAGAAGAAGCCACTGCTCCAAAACCGCCATAAAAAGCCAGACTACGGTTTGCAACTGCACATGGGGACAAAGATCGTACTTTTTGGAGAAATGTCCTCTGGTCTGATGAAACAAAAATAATACTGTTTGGCCATAATGTCCATCGTTATGTTTAGAGGAAAAAGGGGGTTATTGCAAGCCAAAGAACACCATCCCAACCGTGAAGCACGGGGGTGGCAGCATCATGTTGTGGGGATGCTTTGCTGCAGGAGGGACTGGTGCACTTCACAAAATAGATGGCATCATGAGGAAGGAAAATTATGTGGATATATTGAAGCAACATCTCAAGACATCAGTCAGGAAGTTAAAGCTTGGTCGCAAATGGGTCTTCCAAATGGATAATGACCCCAAGCCTACTTCCAAAGTTGTGGCAAAATGGCTTAAGGACAACAAAGTCAAGGTATTGGAGTGGCCATCACAAAGCCCTGACCTCAATCCTATAGTAAATGTGTGGGCAGAACTGAAAAAGTGTGTGCGAGCAAGGAGGCCTACAAACCTGACTCAGTTACACCAGCACTGTCAGGAGGAATGGGCCAAAATTCACCCAACTTATTGTGGGAAGCTTGTGGAAGGCTACCCGAAATGTTTGACCCAAGTTAAACAATTTAAAGGCAACGCTACCAAATACTAATTGAGTGTATGTAAACTTCTGACCCACTGGGAATGTGATGAAAGAAATAAAAGCTGAAATAAAATAATTCTCTCTACTATTATTCTGACATTTCACATTCTTAAAATAAAAGTGGTGATCCTAACTGACCTAAGACATGGAATTTTTACTAGGATTAAATGTCAGGAATTGTGAAAAACTGAGTTTAAATGTATTTGGCTAAGGTGTATGTAAACTTCCGACTTCAACTGTAGGTACACAGATATTCAAAATATTTACACATGCAGTTGATTTAATCATTGTTACCTGGTACAGAATCTCTGGCCTTTCGGAATACTTCTGATTGACAGGCTGGATTGTGACAGGCATTGACATTCCTTTGAAAAGTTTATTTAATTACCAAATGACTGTATTGGAAGAGGAAATATACAAGTTGCTTCATTTAGAGAGTAATTCTGACTTGGCTTCGCAATTAGGTCAGGTGACTGAATATGACAGACAGGCTAGAGCTGCATCCTTACCCACTACTGTCTGATGATAATAATAATAAACTCACAAAGCCAAAGCTTTTAACAGTTTACCCTTTGAAATGTTAATTAAGAAAACCTGTCTTTGATCCTCTGCACTGTAATGTGCCCTGACTGCATTTCAACCACCATCCAGGATTACAGGAGCCTAAACAACTCCTGTCGAGCCCTTTGGGAGTGACATACTTAAAATCAAACATTTCCATAAAAAAAGCCTTTGTTGCCACAGCTCATGTTGCAATCTTGCTCGGTGCTGTAGGAAAGTAAATGATTTACCTCTACAAAGACCACACACAGTACAATGCATGACAATGAATGTAGAATAGGTTGTTGTACAATGAAATGAGGTACTTTTATTATAGCTGTGACTAACAAGTTCATCACGTCGTTCATTTACAATGTGAGTGAGCATCCTGTACACTAATTCCTGAGTAAGCTATGGTACCAAAAAAAAATACAGTCCATTTGACATTTTTGCCTAGCCATTTGATTGAAGTTAGGATACAAGCTAACCAATGGACAACTGCCAGCAGTTTGGTCAACAGGTATGTCTTCAAATAGAAGCGAATTTCAGTATGAAGAGTAAGTTGCCACACAATTGGCCTCATGGTAACCTCCCTTAGCAGTTTCTTTCCTCTATGGCAGCTCGGATCGGAAGGACGGCTGGATGTTTGTAATGTCTGGGTGTTATAATTCTTTCCCTTCTCTGTGCCAATCACTGCCAGATCCTGAGCTCGCCACCCCAGTCGCACGTCGCCACCACAGCGGGCAGCACGGGGTGCAGAGACACACACATGCATGCCTGCTGGTGTGCGAGCAGCGTGTGCAGCGTCCGAGCACTCTGCTGGTCGTAGAAGTGGACGGAGCCCGTGGAGCTGCCCGTGGCCAGTATGGACCCATCCGGCGAGAAGTCACACCTCACCGCGTAGCCCTCTACCTAAACCATCACACATTAGCAACGCACTGAAATCAATTTAGACTCTATACACATTACAAATGACCCAGGCCCACATTTTCCACTTCTATTCGGACACTTGCAATGCAAAAAATTATCAAAATGTAGATGGGAATTGGCAATTCATGCAAAACAAGTATACAATAATGCAGCTCGAGATTGCATTGAGGTTGGAATCCTGTGCTGTCTGCTTGAGACTCTCCATATAGCAGTTAGAGCACCTGGTAGAAAAGCCCTAGCAATTACTATTATTATTGCATGCATTTCATATTCACACTGTTTACTTTATTACCTCCGCCATGCCATCTCATGCACATGAGAGGCTTTAAGATAAAGACCCCCTATGCCTATTGTTAGTAATACGCGTCTCAGTGCTGTTTAGCACATCATTCCCAAACAGGGGAAATAACATGTATAAACAAATTAAATGACATGTTTATTGTGCGTATTCTAATTGGATTGTCGATTTTTTTCAATTAGCACCGTTTAGCAGACAGACCATGTTTTACACAAAGGACCAACGTTGAAACTACACTAACGTTACAGCTGCTTTTTATAGTTAGCTATAGGCTACTCACTCGTAAGACAAATTTTGACAGCAAAACCTCAGCAGGTCCCTTTAATATTTGTATAACATATCTGAATGTCACGTTCTATATGTGACTCATTGGTGTAATTGTTTTTGGTTAACCATGTTTGTTGGTAGAGGATTGTAAATGACAGACCAGAGGGACTACTGCTTTTAGCTATAGAGCTGTGTGTAGAGTGTATGATCTCCCATGCAACCTCACGGCCTCATCACCACTGACCTTGTGTCCTTCATACCGCCTCCTCTTGTTCATTCTGTATGGCCGCTGGGCAGAAAATAGGGCCATGTAGTTACCATTGGTCTGCGCTACAAAGGAGTCCTGCTGGGGGTGAAGGGCTAGGCTGGGGCACGTGTACCGCTCCTGGATTCATTCAAGTGAATGGGAGAAGGTCAGAGAGCATTCAACTGGGTTGGCATTCATACTCAAATTATACTGTTATCTGTATTTTCTGCCATAAAAACCACCCACATGTACTTAAATAGTCAATAAGACATCTATGGCTGCATGGACCAACATTTACATACATTAAAGGGAGAGGAAGAATTTAGTATCCAACTATTATGGAAAATAAAAACAAGAGATTTAAAGGGGCAATCTGCAGTTGAAACAATAACAAAGCATTCACCCAGTCACTGTTTTAGTAAAAAGCTAAAGGATGGAGGCTGGAAAATTGTAACCACTCAAATTCTTAAACATAGCTATGGATGCAAGGACTGACCATCCATGATATCAACATTATATACTGAACAAAAATACAAACGCAACATATAAAGGGTTGGTCCCATGTTTCACCAGCTGAAATAAAATATAGACATTTTCCCATATGCACAAAAAGCGTATTCGCAAAAATGTTGTGCACAAATGTGTTTACATCCCTTTTAGTGAGCATTTCTCCTTTGTCAAGATAATCCATCCACCTGACAGGTGTGGCATATCAAGAAAGCTGATTAAACAGCATGATCATTACACAGGTGCAATGGCACAATTAAAGGCCACTAAAATGTGCAGTTTTGTCACACAACACAATGCCACAGATGTCTCAAGTTTTGAGGAAGCGTGCAATTGGCATGCTGACTGCAAGAATGTCCACTGGAGCTGTCGTCAGAGAATTTAATGTTCATTTCTCTACCATAAGCCACCTCCAACGTCGTTTTAGAGAATTTGTCAGTACATCCAACCGTGTAACCACGCCACCCCAGGACCACCACATCCGGCTTCTTCACCTGTGGGATTGTCGGAGACCAGCCACCAGGAAGGCTGATGAAACTGAGGAGAATTTCTCTATAATAAAGCCCTTTTGTGGTGAAAAACTCATTCTGATTGGCTGGGCCTGGCTCCCCAGTGGGTGGGCCTGGCTCCCAAGTGGGTGGGCCTATGCCCTCCTAGGCCCCACCCATGGCTGTGCCCCTGCCCAGTCATGTGAAATCCATAGATTAGGGCTTAATGAATTTATTTCAATTGACTGATTTCCTTATATGAATTGTAACTCAGTAAAATCGTTGAATGTTGCATTTATATTTTTCTTCAGTATAGTTTTATTCATGCTTTGAGGCTATATTGTGTTTATTTACATTTACATTGTTAACAAACATTGGAGTAAAAGAAGCTTATATTTTGAGTTCTGATGGCGTATGACAAATAAACTGAGCTGCATTTCTATGTTATATTCTTCGAGAATCAATGGGTATATATATATAATTAATTTAAAAGTAAAAAAATGGATTTACCAATCGTAGATTGCCGCTTTTAAGATAGATGCATAAATAAATCAGTAGATAAAGTACTTTATAACTAGTTGAGAGATTTTCTTTGCTCCTTCCAGGTACAGTATGTTTGCAGCAGCAGGAACAACATGGCTGAGGTGAGACAAGCTATCTAGGCCATGTCCCATAGGTTGGCAACACTTTGAAACGGAGAGAACTAGGGAGGAACTAACTGAAATTGTCCAACAAGAAACTATCATATACATTTTCTGTTGCTAATTGTTTTGATACAGTATTCCCTACTGAACACAACCCTGGTCTTACTTACATGGTAGATCTGATTGGAGACCTTAGCGGTGGTTTGGAAGTCCCAGGCAATGAGCGTGCGCTCGGCAGAATCCCGGCTGACCGAGTCACTGCTGGTCACAAACTCCCTGCCCCCAGTCAGGAACAGGATGGCCAGAGTCTGCTGGATCCCTGCCCTGTACACCCTCTCCACCTGGGGAAACAGAGAAGATGGGGCATAAATTGACAATTCCACTTCCTCTGCAACATACATTGACACCTACTGGCAGAACAAATTGCTTATGCATTAAAATGTACTAGTGGCTAGCCACTTGGGAACATGCCAGCCTGAACTCATGCCAGAAGGGGTGCAGTGCACCATAGTGTAGATTAGCATGCCTTGACAGTGCTGTTAGCTCAGATGACTCTCTCTGTCTCGGTGACGGACAGCCACAGAGAGATCAGACCTGGGAACAACTATCAAATTGAGTGTTTGATAGAGCCTGCCTAGAGTGCCAGATGGGTGAGGTTTGCACATGTTTCCATTACGAAGGTATTTCAAAGAAAACAAATACTAGTCTAACAGGGATAGGCCTACAGTTCTGGAGAGAAGACAGGGTTAATGATGCAGCTGACCTTGCAGGTACGGGCGTCCCAGGCCTTGACCTCTGCGCTGTAACCCCCACACAGGAACACTTCAGGGTCGTTGGGCTGCACTGCCAAGCACATCACCTTGAACTGGTTGCCCACCTTCACGATCTGCTGTCCTGAAGAACCAAACACAGAAACCACCATCACAAACCTCTAGCAAATATTTTACAAACAGGAGATGAGTACGGAAAAATGACGACTTGGATAAAAGCATATATGACAGAGCAATTGGACACAGAGCCATTTCAAAGTCAAAGAAGCCCTCAGATCGAGGAAGGTCTTGCGCCACCCCAGGACATTTTTGGTCCCCCTAGGGAACCCCTGCTTGCGGTGGTTGGTTTTCAACATCATGTACCATATATGACAAACCCAGTTAGCACAATGTTTTGGCACAATGCATCAGTGATACCTAAATAAAGTATGAGACATTTGGGAAACAGTCCTGTGATATTTTTGGAACTATGCCCTTAACCATGTAGAACAAATTAGTATTTGAAAACCAAAAGCAGCTTTTATCTCACACCAGTAAAAAGTCCAGATAAAAAGCTAATTTAAACTGACAAAGAAATGATACAAATATGTTTTAAAAAACTAAACAAAAATCCACTGTTTTGGCCAGCGAGTGTCAGCAAGCATTTCTTATTAAATTATAGTGATGTTGAGCTTCAAAACAAAAACAAAACATTGCAGGGCTTAAATGTAATTAAGCCTGAAAGGGTGCGACAGCCCAATGTTTCCCCAGGAAACCGTCGGAACGTATAGTACAAACCTGCAAGGGGACCGTTCCAGACTATGCCCAGGCAGCAGACCTGTCAAAGGCTATGTAAAATGTGCCTCAGGGCCATGCGACTCCTCATTAATTAATCCCACACACAACCAAGACTTCTATAAGCAGTGTTAAAGTCTCCCTCACCAATGTTACATTTTAGTAAGCCCTTTGTCATTATGGGGTATTGTGTGTAGATGGGTGAAAATAAAATCTGTTTAATCCATTTTGAATTCAGGCTGTAACACAACAAAATGTGGAATAAGTCAAGGGGTATGAGTACTTTCTGAAGGCACTGTAAGTGCAGGCTCTCCAAAAGCCAGCCAGACAGCCAAGAGCTGTGCTGTTTACATTGAGGGCCCATCATCTAAAGAACCCAGCCTTTCTCGTTGCAGCCGAGAGCTTCTGCTTTATTGAAGAGCATCAAGAGCCAATCAATCACATCTGTTGATTACGAGCTGATGTTCCAAACACAAGCACGCCACTCCAGCTCGGGACATCAAATGCTGCTGCATTGATATTCTAATTATCTCAATGGCATCACAATGCGCCATCCGAGGGATTAACTAGTCATGGTCTGTAGAGGCTTCTCAGTGCAGGGGCCTAGTCCCGCGCAGATAAAGGGAGACAGTCTCCCTGCTGCCCCCCCCCCCCACCCACACGGAGTCACTCACGCACTCGGAACTGAACCCCACCCTTAGGAATACCTGGATGGATAAGTAACCTTCTACCCCTCCCACCCCCCCCCAACACACCGGGCTCAACTCCGGGACATTGAACCCACCTTTTAAGGATACCTGGATAGATATAAGTAATCTTCTACCCCCCCCCCACCCCACAGCGGGCACTCCACTCGAGACATTTGAACCCCAACTCTTAAGGAATACCTGATAGGATAAAGTAAGTCTCTACCCCCCCCCCCCAATTTAAGTGGATCCCAGGCATAGGGTAACGCAATTGGAGTCGCGGCTAATAGCTAAATGACTGCCCTAGCAAGGCACTAACCCCAATTGCTCTGTAAGATAAGAGCGCTGCTAAAGACTAAAATGTAAATGTAAGTATAAGGACAGCATACCGGTATTCAAGAGTGCTGGCCTACCAGTGTAAAAGTTCACTGATGGAGCCCAACTGTCACGCCAAATGGTCATCAAGAGTCCTTACTGTAATGTTATTTTGCAACCAAACTGAGGTAAACATCATGTTGTAACTTTCCAAGAACGCTCAGACATCCCCTGTTTGCTGGGTCAGTCCTCCATTGAGTCAACACACTCTGTAACCAACGACATGAAGGGTAAACAGGAGATAATGTCACAGCAGTCTGGTGACTGAGGGTTGGTGGTGTGTGGGCATGCTGGATTCTGCCTGTGGATCTGCTATCGATCACTTACCCCGAGCTGCCAGGGTATTTAATGGGCGGGTGAAGCAAATATCCAGGGGCTTTATTGGCAGAATCGACAGTCACACGGGGAGAGGAAGTGCACGCTGCAATGACTAATCATGTGGTGACCTAAAAGATGGAGTGCCACTGGGAGCTTTAAACCAACGCGCTTACTTACATGTGTTTACGGTTGAAAAAACATTTAAGAAAATAGGATATGCATTACGGGAGGATTTAAGGGGATGGATCACTCCAAATAGGATTTTACAAGATGTTCTACTTACCTTGGATATGCCAGTTTTTAAGTGCACAGGTTTTTAAGTTCACAATTTGATCAGTCTTATCAAATGCCATTTGTCTTAACAATTTTCCATAATTGGGTTTTTTCTACATATGGCATTTTTCAATGGTCTAATGTTCATAACACAAAATCTGATGTTAGATCTTGGAGTATCTGTGGTAAATACATGTAGAATGGATACTAGTAGACCTAAACTAATCAAAAGAAAATACAAAAAAAACATTGTTGGTCACCAATATGAAATACCAGTGACTTCCATTGTCCCAGAGAGTGTTGCTCACCTGTCTCCACGTCCGTCACCAAGGCCGTGTTGTCAAATGAGCCAGTGAGGAGGCGTCGCCCACAGGGGGACCAACAGGCATCTCGCACCGCCCCCGAGTGGGAGGAGTATACCTGCAGGCACTGCCCACTCTCTGCACCATCCCAAATCTGCAACACAGATTATTCATTAGTGCAAACTAGTGATGCGCGGGTTTACTCAGAACCCGCAGTCCCGGTGGGGTGGACGGGTTTAGGGTCATGAAATATTATGTGGATGAAAGGCGGGTGGGTGACATGCGGGTTAAATAAAGAGAAAACAATATCTTAAAAAACCATAAATGTATTATTCTTGTGCAATTTATATCTATAGGCTACATTGAGGTTTTTCTTTCAGGCTATCTGGCATTAGTGCATAAGCCTAAGCTGTATGGCCTAACTGTACACGCGCCAAATAGCCTACACGCCAATTGCCAAATGCTTTTGGGAACGGGCAGAAAAAGTTAATGTCAATCCAGGGAGGCAAAAAGGACAATGTTTAATTCAATAAGTGCAAAAGGCGCGAAAGGAGAGTTGAAAATAAAGAGAAGGGAGGGCCAGAAAAGTCATGTTTGGGAAAGATTTGGTGAAGTGGTTAAAGAGGATGATAGCAGTGCCGGCTATGTTATGTGTGATGATTGTGAGGCTCTATACAAATTCGACAATCACAAGATGGGGTCTACAAATAGGCCTATGGCATGTCAAGGGAACTGTAGCCTACTGTTCAGACGGGTTAAATGGAAACTGAAATCTGGACACTGACTGTAGGTCTATAACCTCTCACATAGCCTTAAAATTACTCCTTTAGAATGAAGCATTTCTTGCAGTAAAATGATACACCAAATGTAGGCTACATTTTTACTCGGGAACAGGAGTGGAGAAATATGATTGATTTCTTTTAGCATCTTGAGAGAATGCAAATGCTCAGTTAGATACCATCTGTTAAGGTGCTATCTTTATTAGCATCATAACAGCTGATAGTATTTCAACCACATAAAATATGCATCCAAGCCGAACTGAAATCTTATCAGAAACACGGTGGGTCGTTTTCACAGCTTTCATTTTCCTTACAACTGGTCAAACTGATGTCATTTGGACATTTTGCAAAGAAAATATTTCCTAAAAGTATTGGCCCCCTTTCTGATTTTCTCTATTTTTACATATTTTTTTATACTGAATGTTGTTCAACCAAAACCTAATATTTTAGATACAGGGAACCTGCGTTTACAAATATATATCTATATATATATTTTTTTAAACTTATTCTATATATTGAATTAACAAAGTTATGCAACACCTAATTCCCCTGTGTGAAAAAATAATTGCCCCATTACACTCAATAACTGGTTGTGCCACCTTTAGCTGCAATGACTCCAAACAAATGCTTCCTGTCGTTTTGATTAGTCTCACATCGCTGTGGAGGAATTTTGGCCCACTCTTGTATGCAGAACTGCTTTAACTCAGCGACATTTGTGGGTTTTCAAGCTTGAACTGCTCATTTCAAGTCCTGCCACAACATCTCAATTGCGATTAGGTGTGGACTTTGACTAGGCCATTCCAAAACTTCAAATGTGTTGCTTTTTAACCATTTTCATGTAGAATTGATTATGTGTTTTGGATCATTGTCTTGCTGCATGACCCAGCTGCACTTGAGCTTTAGCTCACAGACGGATGGCATGACATTCTCCTGTAGAATTCTCTGATACAGAGCAGAATTCATGGTTCCTTCTATTAAGGCAAGTTGTCCAGGTCCTGAGGCAGCAAAGCATCCCTAAAACCATCACTCTACCACCACCATGCTTGACCGTTGGTATGAGGTTCTTACTGTGGAATGCAGTGTTTGGTTTTTTGGCCAGGCATAATGGGACTCTTGTCGTCCACAACCAAGTCTACATGAAAATGACTAAAAAGCAACACATTTGAAGTTTTGGAATGGCCTAGTCAAAGTCCAGACCCAATCCCAATTGAGATGTTGTGGAAGGACTTGAAATGAGCAGTTCATGCTTGAAAACCCACAAATGTCGCTGAGTTACAGCAGTTCTGCATAGAAGAGTGGGCCAAAACTCCTCCACAGCGACATGAGAGACTGATCAACAACTACAGGAAGCGTTTGGTTGGAGTCATTGCAGCTAAAAGGTGGAACAACCAGTTATTGAGTGTAAGGGGGCAATTACTTTTTCACACAGGGGCATTGTAGTTGATGTGCTATTTGTTCACTTAGGTTCCCTTTATATAATATTAGGTTTTGGTTGAAGATCTGATAACATTCAGTATCAAAAATATGCAAAAGTAGAGAACATTTGAAAGAGGGCAAATACATTTTCACAGCACTGTATCTAATTTATAGACAAGTTGACTAACAAATAGCCTACCAAAATGTTGGAAATTATAAGCAGAAACATATCTAAAATCAGGCAACAACAACAAATCCTGCACACCCTGTCAAAAAATTGTTCTGCCGTCTTTGGCTGTAGTCTATAGCGCATTTTCTATATTTGCAGGTTAGGGTCGGGCCTCAGATTTTCACTACCACATATAGTCGGGCAGTTGCAGATGGGTTGTTAGCGATTGCAGGCGGTTGTGGGTGAACAAACAGCTGACCCTGCGCACCCATAGTGCAAACCATAGCAAAACGTTTTTGAAAACGAGTTTCTTATTGGACCAATTCAGGTAGTTCGCTGCCCGTTTCGTCCCATTTGCTTCCGTTTGGTTCCTAGTGAATACACCCCTGGACACAGTGCAGTGGTTAATTAGAGACAGTCATGTTTTGAGGAACTTTATCAGTTGTAATGGGAATTCTCATACACCGCACAGAGAGAGCACAAAGAGGCTTTTTAATCACATGCATTATTCTGTATCGGAATAAAGTATGTTCTTTAAGGAGCGTGCTACATTCACACTTCGGCTAAGTAATCAGTAATATGGGGGCTTTCAACCTGGACAATTTCCCTATAAATTATAGGAAAAAAGATGGATACTCTATAAAATATGGATACTCATTGGTTTCTTTCACGGTTCTTCAATTCAAATAAATTTGACTACATTAAAACAGGTTGCCTCAGGTTTTTTATTCAACAAGTTGGACATATTCTTTCACACCTCTGGTGTAACAGGTATTTTAGCACTGAAACACATAGGCCTGTAACTCACAATGAAACTCTGTTGTGCAAATGTTGAGCATAAACACTTACAGTGGCACCATTCATTTTGGCAACGAGTCGGCCATATGAAATCACACACAGCAGGGCAACTTCCTGCTTACAGAAATCATCAACAACATCATTCAAATGTGCCCTTTCTCAAAGCATGAATTTTGTTGATTTCATAAAATAAAAAGTTGCCTGTCCCACGATCATATTGCTAAGTGTATGCAGGAGGGATATAAAAAATTAAAACTCTCCACTGTAGATTAAACATCTTCAATTAAAGGCATTTTGCCTCCAATAGCACATTGGTTCAAGGGTTTGTGCAAAATGAAGTCCACAAGCAAACACTACAAAACATGTCCACCTAGATCAATGGCTTTGGTGGAGAACAAGAGCTATGTGATGGATATTCGCTGTCCAGAGCTGGTGAGACAGAGCCTGTGACATTATGACAGGGCCACTGGTCTAATAAGTCCTGTCAGTCTCTTTTCATTGCCATCAGGAGTCTGGACACTACAGAGAACTGAAGCTAGCCAGAGTGCCTTTCCGCCCAGTTCTTTTTTTTACCAACAGGAAAAGTCAAATTACTAAGCCTAAAGCATCTGAGCAGTAACAACTAACAACAATGTGTCTGTATCCATGGTTGAGTGACATCTATTATGAATTGCATAAGATATTTAAAAATTCTACTTTCAGACTGCGTGAATGAATGTCAATGTGACAAGGCAATTGAGGTAAAGCCGGCAATCCACACCTACTAGTAGGATCACGCTGAGATAATGATCTGGCGGCGACCTAAAATCCATGGGCTGCTGTACGTGTAAACAAATCTCTCATCCTCTTTGCTGCCTCCCACATCGGGGGCCCCAGGCAGCCACACAGTCCTTTAGAATGGCAGTGAATTATTTTTGAGAAGGATAAATGGCAATCTACATGTATGACAGCCATTCCATTCCAGTATCTGTTGAATTCCAACACAGGCACACCTCATTCTACTGAATTAAGTACTGATTAGGTGATCACATGAACCAAATCTTATTTAACGAGGAAAAGTATAAAACAAACACTGCTGTGGTCATCACTATCCTCTTGCAATAGGACCAGCTGGATGGCAAAAACAGTGCTAATAGTACCTCAAAAGTAATATTAATAAAAAAATAACTATTGACCATGCCAAAAGAGTTGAAAAGGAAGGTTTTGAGTGAGGAAAAGAAGGGTTCAATTCTGGCTTTACTGGCAGAGGGATACAGTGAGCGTCAGGTTGCTTCCATCCTTAAAATTTCAAAGACGGCGGTTCATAAGAACAAGGTCAAGCAGCAGACATTGGGGACAACAAAGCTACAGACCAGCAGAGGGCGAAAACGACTCTACTGACCGGGATGACCGCCAACTCATTCGAATGTCACTCAACAACCGTAGGATGACATCAAGTGACCTACAAAAAGAATGGCAAACGGCAGCTGGGGTGAAGTGCACGGCGAGGACGGTTCGAAACAGGCTCTTAGGGGCAGGGCTGAAGTCGTGCAAAGCTAGAAAAAAGCCCTTCATCCATGAGAAGCAAAGAAGAGCCATGCTGAGGTTTGCAAAAGAACATTAGGATTGGGCCATAGAGGACTGGAGTAAGGTCATCTTCTCTGATGAGTCCAATTTTCAGCTTTGACAAAACCTGGTCGTCTAATGGTTAGACAGAGACCTGGAGAGGGCTACAAGCCACAGTGTCTCGCACCCACTGTGAAATTTGGTGGAGGATAGGTGATGATTTGGGGATGCTTCAGCAATGCTAGAATCGGGCAGATTTGTCTTTGTGAAGTTCGCATGAATCAAGCCACGTACAAGGTTGTCCTGGAAGAAAACGTGCTTCCTTTTGCTCTGACATTGTTCCCCAACTCTGAGGATTGGTTTTTCCAGCAGGACAATGCGCCATGCCACTCACAGTCAATCAAGGTGTGGATGGAGGACCACCAGATCAAGACCTTGTCATGGCCAGCCCAATCTCCAGACCTGAACCCCATTGAAAACTTCTGGAATGTGATCAAAAGGAAGATGGATGGTCACAAGCCATCAAACAAAGCCGAGCTGCTTGAATTTTTGCGCCAGGAGTGGCATAAAGTCACCCAATATCAATGTGAAAGACTGGTGGAGAGCATGCCAAGACGCATGAAAGCTGTGATTGAATATCAGGGTTATTCCACCGAATATTGATTTCTGAACTCTTCCTTAGTTAAAACATTAGTATTGTGTTGTTTAAAAATGAACATGACCTTATTTTCTTTGCATTATTCGAGGTCTGACAACACTGCATCTTTTTTGTTATTTTGACCAGTTGTCATTTTCTGCAAATAAATGCTCTAAATGACAATATTTTTTATTTGGAATTTGGGAGAAATGTTGTCAGTAGTTTATAGAATAAAACTAAAATGTTAATTTCACCCAAACACAAACCTATAAATAGTCAAACTAGAGAAACTTATATTTTTGCAGTGGTCTCTTAATTTTTTCCAGAGCTGTATAGTTGAAGTCGGATGTTTACATACACCTTAGCCAAATATATTTAAACTCAGTTTTTCACAATTCCTGACATTTAATCCTAGTAAAAATTCTATGTTTTAGGTCAGTTAGGATCACCACTTTATTTTAAGAATGTGAAATGTCAGAATAATAGTAGAGAGAATGATTTATTTCAGCTTTTATTTCTTTCATCACATTCCCAGTGGGTCAGAAGTTTACATACACTCAATTAGTATTTGGTAGCATTGCCTTTAAATTGTTTAACTTGGGTCAAACGTTTTGGGTAGCCTTCCACAAGCTTCCCACAATAAGTTGGGTGAATTTTGTCTCATTCCTCCTGACAGAGCTGGTGTAACTGAGACAGGTTTGTAGGCCTCCTTGCTCGCACATGCTTTTTCAGTTCTGCCCACACATTTTTTATAGGATTGAGGTCAGGGCTTTGTGATGGCCACTCCAATACCTTGACTTTGTTGTCCTTAAGCCATTTTGCCACAACTTTGGACATATGCTTGGGGTTATTGTCCATTTGGAAGACCCATTTGAGACCAAGCTTTAACTTCCTGACTGATGTCTTGAGATGTTGCTTCAATATATCCACATAATTTTCCTTCCTCATGATGACATCTGTTTTGTGAAGTGCACCAGTCCCACCATACATACATACACACACAACAAAAATATAAACGCAACATGCAGCAATTTCATTGATTTTACTGAGTTACAGTTCATGAGGAAAATCAGTCAATTGAAATAAATTAATTAGGCTCTAATCTATGGATTTCACATGACTGGGAAAACAGATATGCATCTGTGGTCACAGATACCTTAAAATAAAATGGACGTCACAATGGGCCTCAGGTTCTCGTCACGGTATTTTTGTGCATTCAAATTGCCATCGATAAAATTCCCTTGTGTTTGCTGTCCGTAGCTTATGCCTGCCAATACCATAACCCCACCACCACGGGGCACTCGATTCACAACGTTGACATCAGCAAACTGCTCGCCCACATGTCATTCACGTGGTCTGCGGTTGTGAGGCCGGTTGAACATACTGCCAAATTCTCTAAAACGATGTTAGAGGCGGCCTATGGTAGAGAAATTAACATTAAATTATCTGGCAACAGCTCTAGTGGATATTCCTGCAGTCAGCATGCCAATTACACGCTCCCTCCAAACATGAGACATCTGTGGCATTGTGTTTTGTGACAAAACTGCACATTTTAGAGTGCACCTGTGTAATGATCATGCTGTTTAATCAGCTTCTTAATTAGCCACACCTGTCAGGTGGATGGATTATCTTGGAAAAGGCAAAATGCTCACTAACAGGGATGTAAACAAAGTGCGCAAACTTTGAGAGAAAAAAGCTTTTTGTGCATATAGAAAAATGTCTGGGCTCTTTTATTTCAGCTCATGAAACCATGGGACCAACACTTTACATGTTGCATTTATATATTTTTGTTCAGTGTATATTTCCACACTATTTTTTTATTTTTTACCATTTTCATTGAAAACAATCACAATAAGGTACTTAATTGTTACCCAGAAATGATTTGATCTTGAGATGAAGACTGCTGTATTGGACCTTTAAAGGTGTTCTATTTTAACAAAACGCAAAGTGCTGACAAATTGGCTTCATTCGGTTGTAAATTAGGGTTTATTTTGAGGGTTTAAAAAAGCAAGACAGCCCTCACTAATTAATTTATCTAGCTAATTACCATTGTGAGTGCCATAAATCAATCTCTAGCAAGAAACAGCTAAATGATTTTGTGATTTGTGCAGGCTTCTCTGATCCTAGTCGTGAAGAGACAAAGGAAAAAGAGTGCACCAGCCTGTCACGAGCGTGATTGTGTTGTTCAATGCTTCACCGCTTTGTGTTTCTAGTGCTTGACAAGAGGAAGGCTGCAAAAACAGACGTACAGGAGCCCAATGACAACTGAAGTGGCGCTGGTTCAAATAAGTAGTGTTCACACTTTGGAGTTTAATTAGAGGCTTGCCGAACCTGACAAACCCTGATTCAAGTAGGGGGCACTGGGGCCAACTGTCGGTGCTATTGGAGACATCTCAGTGTCAAAAGAAAGCATCTGCCAGCCCCTTTGGAAAAGTCTCCCCGGGGAAACGTCTGAAATTGAGTGGGTGGTCTCATGTGTGAAGGCCAAAACTAATGATGAGAAGTTTCTATGCCCTAGCATATCCAGACCCACAGAGGGTCTTTGAAGATCTGTGAGCCAGATCCGTCTCCGTCTATTTCATTATTGAACACTGTACTGCACAGAGCATAAAAGAGCATGGAGAAGTATGACAGCTCCCATACTCCAGAGAGAGTCGACTGGAATGTGTGACATGTCAATCCAGGAACAAGCTCCTTCTTTGCTGCCCTTTACCAAACAGAATCCCCTAGAAGCTTACAGGCGAGGGTGAATATTTTGGAAATGTAAAGCAGTGAAGACATTTTGAGGGAATGCCAGAGCAACACAAAAAAAGAGCTGAAAATGAAATATACTGGAGTAGGTGAACTGTACAATACTATTTCCGTCTCTATCATGAACAACATCAACAGTAACATCTAAACAAGTTCAGCTAAATAATCATTGTAAGGGAAACACTGCCCTCTAAAGGAGAGATTCTGACAGTAGGTGTAAATGTGTAGGCTTAATGTAGAGAATGAATGTTTACAACATTTTCCATTTCACTGGTCACTTCAAGTCCTTGCAAATGACTCGTTCTTTAAAATCAGCCTCCTAATGGGTTCTAAGTAATAACAAATATAAAAATTGTCTTCATGTTATCAACGTAAACACTACGGCGAGACACCTGCTGTCAACATGGTGATTGTGTACAGCTACAAACATCTCTCTCCTGCAGCTAAATGACAAATAGTCACCTACAAAAGAACAGGGCTGGCCAGGGACATAGGGTCCTCTTCTGACCTACCCGTGTCCCCTACTGACCTGTCCCCCCCTTCCTCAGCTGGGCACCCATTTTTGTTTCCTTGGAGGAACTTTGAAAATATTTACATTGCATATTCCAATTGGGTGCCCCATTCAAATTATTTGTGAGATGATTGACTTATATGGGAAGTGGGTTGGTCCACTATTGGTCGTTGCTCCTGTCTGACAGACGTTGTGTGATTGGATCTTCCTAGACTCCGCCACTAACAAGGCGCTACCCAAAGTGAGAGACATCACTCATAATATCATAGAACCGGGGTTACATTAGGTAAACGTTGGTCTTCCTGGGTCGTATTAATTGGGGCACACCGTAGCAAAACATTTTGCAACAGAAAATGAAAACAATAATTTCTTATTGGGTAAGTTAAGGTAGTCTCTCCCAGTTTCATTCAGTTTTCTTCCATTTGGTGCCATACGACCCTTGTAAAATGTGGTAGGTATTAGTGTTGCACGGAATACCGAAACGTCAGTACTTTCTCGATACTAGAACATGAAAAACGGTTCGGTACTATAACTTTTTTTAAACTTTCGGTACTTCTGTCAAATGTGTCTCACAAAGTCAACTGATTGAGAGAGGATCAAGTCTGTCCATCAGATCAGCTGATGTTCCCATAGCGCGAGATCCCCATGCCTGCTCCACTTACTCATTGCTAGCTCTAGCCTGCCATGAGGAAACACTGAGCACGGTTACATGCAATGTTCCCTCTAAGCTGAGCGCGGGTGCGCAGCTCCTCCAGGACTGCCTTGCAGAAAAAATATCAGCCAGCAGAGAGAAGCAAGAGATTGAACATCGCTCAACTTTCTAGAGTTTTCCCCATTAGTTAACACTATTAATGTTTCCCTTTACTGTGGGAATTGTGATCGAATCAATGCAATATTAGCCACTTTCGATGCAGCATACCGAAACAAAACAAACTATGCAAGAGATTTTGTTGTAGGCAGAGTGCATCAGAATAGGATTCTATTGCATTGACAGGCATGACACAGGCCCGTACTCTACACAGACTGGTGCGTCATAACGAAGCAGAGCTGCAGCAGGCCTATTTGCAAATAGACCCTTGCCATATATGGATTTGTGCCATTCACCTTGAACTGGACTGTTTTACAGCATGAGCAGTCACGATTATTATGCGCTTATTTTGAGATCAAAGCGAGCACTGCAACATTTGTTCATATTCTTTACTAGTTAATTAGTTATTAGCCCAGTTATAGCTAAATTGTAGTCAGCAATGTGAGAGTGATTGCTTCCTACAAGAGCACAAAATGTGTACATTTCTAGCCATCTTTGAAAAGCAAGTCAGGTACAGAGCTTTTTTTTATGTTTTAAAAAGGGGCAGTGTTGTATTTTGAGACAGGCTTGAATAAGCTAAGTAGCCAATAGGCAGAGGGTATCATAATTTTTCTGATTTTCTGTAATAATGGTATGGGAACAATAATTAATTTTATTTTGTAAAGTGGTTTCTTACATTAAAACACACAAAATGTTCAGTCACCTTGTCTGAAGGACAAGTGGATAAACCGGTTAATGTCAAGCCCTGCACGTTTAGTTTTTTCAAGTCTCATGGAATGTAGGCCTACATTGAACACCACACATTGGCTGCTACTGTAGACTGAATGATAAAACCACTATTTTCATGTTAAAATGTTATGTGATGCATTTTCTCCATTGTTTTTTTTATAATAGGCCACTCTGGTAGGCCTACATTATGATCAAATAGCCACAGTAGCCTAGTTGGCCACTGTTAAAACAGTAAATTAAAGCGGGTACAGCCTCAGTGTTCACAGTAAACACGCGCCGGAAGTTGCACAGAATTAATATAAATAGTTTGTTTAAAAAGTTTACATGCTTTGCAAGAAGAACGATTTCCCTAATAATCCTGTTTACATGGACACATCTGAAATCAGGCTACCTGATGGGATTTAAATTCATGCAGAAAATTGCCAATCAAAATAAACGTTCTACAACAGTGACCATGTTATTTTTGCGAAGCCTATTTGATTCGGAGTTCGGACATATAAAGTTTGTACGTGAAAACTATTTCTAAGATGCATACTTATAGTTTTTCTGAACTCTCTTCACTCGGCATAAGAGGGAGGCGCTACCAGTGCTGCCACATGCGCAGATCAAATACAACACTGGAACGCAAAATTTGAAAGATTGCTCTGAAAACCAGGGGTTTTAATTGGTGTATGCCTACTTCGATTTTGACCTTAAGATAAGCAGAGTAAAGGCCTCCCGAGTGGCGCAGCGGTCTAAGGCACTGCATCGCTACAGATCCGGGTTCGATACCGGGCCTCGACCGGGAGACCCATGAGGTGGCGAACAATTGGCCCAGCGTCGCACAATTTGGCCCAGCGTCGTCCAGGTTAGGGGAGGGTTTGGCCGGCTGGGATGTCCTTGTCCCATCGCGCTCTAGTGACTCCTTGTGGCGGGCCGGGTGCATGCACGCTGACTTTGGTCGCCAGCTGTACAGCGTTTCCTCCAACACATTGGTGCGTCTGGCTTCTGGGTTAAGCGAGCAGTGTGTCAAGAAGCAGTGCGGCTTAGCGGGGTCGTGTTTCGGAGGATGCATGGCTCTCGACCTTCGCCTCTCCCGAGTCCGTACGGGAGTTGCAGCGATGGGACAAGACTGTAACTACCAATTGGATATCACGCAATTGAGGAGAAAAAGGGATAAAAAAAGTACCAAAAAAGATAAGCAGAGTAAGGTATTTCCATACTCTGCATAATCACTTTTAGATCGAATTATTAGTGTGCATGTAAACATACTCAGTGAGCCCACTGGGAGTTTATGCTGCATCACTGCTTAGGCTGCAAATAAGTTAACACACTTAAATAATGCAACACGATATGTAGAAATGTTGAAACTGCTAGCTAATTACGGTTCCCAAAACAATGTCCAGTACAGGCTAGAACACCACAATGCAAGAAAATACCGGTAGCTTCCAGCTTTGTAGGTTAACTTTCCTTGCTAGCTTACAGCTGAAGCAAACATCAATTCACTACCCTAGTACCTTGCTTGTGATATGCAAACCATAACGCAAAATATTGCTGACTGTCACCAAAATGTTATTCATTCACTTTGTCTCCCCCGCCTCACGTCTCTCCCAGTCAAGATCATCTTGGCTCGAGCCTCGAACGGACTTTGTGTGTGAATGACATCATGGATCTTAGAGATAGCGTCACTTTTATAAAAGAAGAGACTGCTTCTATGCAAATGTTGATCAGTACAATAAAATAAGTCCCAAATGGAAGGTAAATAGATTGTTTTCCATCTATAGCCTCATGAAATCAGCCAAAACAAGCTCAATAACTCAATGCATTCACCTGTATTGTGTATAGGCCTAGGATACATCTTGAGTTACCCAGTTTATCAATAGAGATTTACAATTCAAATAAATGATTACCATTATGCTGTTATGTAGTTAGATTGGTAAAAAAAACTAAAGTCATATTGATTGTATGATTGTATAATTGATTAATTAAAGCATACATTCAAAAATCAATGTAATTATATTGATGTCTGGATCAAGTGCCATCCTGTGACTTTGGCTAATACCCATTCTTTTTTTGCCGTGGTATCATTTGGGTATTGTTTTGGTATGTAGTATCGTGATACTAAACATGGTATCGAAGTCAAAATTCTGGTATCGTGACAACACTAGTAGGTAGGAGTGGAGGAAAGGAAAGCCCATGGGCCCCGACACACATTGCTCTGACAGTGACAGAGGAGTTTCTAAAGGCAGCATGTCTCTATGTCTCCATCTCACTGCAAGACGGTTATCATCCATCTTACCGTCTGTAACGTGGTGAGCCACTTACATTGATTGTCATATAATCTGTACACTGATTACCCACTTGCCTGCCCCTAGGACTGACACAAGTGTGAAATTGTGCTGTGTGTAGGCTATGATTTACGCTACCACACGTATGACCGAAAACATGGAGCACTTAATGGCGCACACACACACACCATTTACCACATCCATTCCCAATACCATCATCATCATCATCATGGTTACCTTGACTGTCTTGTCCATGGAGGCCGACAGTAGGAGATGGCTGAGCTGGGGCACTGGGCACCACTGGATCATGTTGATTGGAGCCTGGTGGGCCTGGAGGCTGAGCTGCATGCGCCTGGGCACCGCTGCCCTGCCAGGCCTGGGCCCCAGGTACGGACGCACCCGCTCAGAGACCTCGGTCAGCAGCCTGGAGACAGTGGACTTGTCGTTCGTTTCCAAAGAGGTTGGTTCTTCTCCATTTCCTGGTGTGGCCAACCTCTGTCTCTTGGGAATGTATGGCCTGACACCAGGTGGTGCAGCCTGATGCCTCTTCACTGTGGTCAAATTAACACAGTCATGGTATTGTGGAGTAGAGTATGGTTTTGCATTTGAGCTGTTCTCCACAATCCCTGAGCGACCCAACGCAGGGGGATAAATCTCCCTGTGAGGTTCGAACACTGTCCTACCATCACCACCACCACATAGTCCTATTTCAAGTTGTTTGTAGTGGGGACTGGGTAATAATGGTCCATAGAAGTTAGAACCCAACGATTTCTGGTTTCCTTGGGACTGACTAATATCATCCATGGGAGAGATGGCAAGAGGAGGGAGTGCGCCATCATCCTCCTCCTGGTCAGAATCATCATAGGCCACTAACGAGGTCATTGTCCTTTCCCCAGAACCCTGTGGGATGTCAATGAAATAAACAAATTTGAGACAGGTTTAAAGCAGTGTTAAATAATCCTGGGTTGCATTCAGTTCAACAGAACATTTGACAAAACGGTGTGCAACGTTGAATTTAACGGAAACTGTACTGAACAACCAGTTGAAAAATGTTGTGATTATGGTGGCCCAGATGGTGCTTACCGTATAGCGTGCTGCACAAGTTTTGCGATTGAAAATGGCCACACCCATATTGATCAGGCCACAACACACCACACCCACCAAACGGGAGCAAGTGTACGTACCTCAATATACACATTCACTCTGAAATTGAAGCAAGACAAGCTAAGGAAGTTTAGAAGAGATGAAATAGACTACAGAGAAGGTCTTTTCGTGGAGAAAACCAACATGCAAGAATTCAGAATTCAGGTTCTCAAACAGGAGAAGACGCGGAAGAGGCCAACACAGAGGGGAAGGAAGAAAGCAAGATTATCCAACCACACGGAGCAGGACCAGAACAAGGCTGTGATCAACATTTCTGGAGAACCCCTTTCTGATGACTGTGTAAGGGTCTTGTCTAAAGGACTGTCCTTTGCGCCCACATACTCAACTAATGAACTTAACACAAAGATTTACCTATCTGAAGGCCTGGTACAAGCAGAACACCTTTCTAACTACAGACACCAGTGTCATGTCAGTCAGTTTGTGTGCCCTCAAAAACACATTTTAAGCCTAAATCCACTTTTTGTCCCATTGTCCAGAATGCCACACAAAACACATTTGTCAAGAATATGAATTTTGATGTGGCGAACCTGTTTAAGGGTAAAAGTGACACTAACCAAACATAATGTAACCTTTCAAAGACAGAGGGATGCAATTGAATACTTGTCCAAAAATGAACGGATTGTTGTTAAAAAAGCAGACTAAGATGGCGCTACAGTAGTGTTGGGTAAGAACAAATGTGTGACAGAAGCCTGCCGTCAATTAGACAATGATTAATTCTACCAATCTCTTACTTTCGACCCTACAGAGGCCCTAAAAACTGAATTGAAAGGGATCCTCACCGAAGCTAAGGAGAATGGTTATATTTCAGATAATAAAGAATATTGAGAACCCCCCCAGGCAGACCAGTCATTAGCGGTAGGCTAATGGAAGTCTGATAGAACCCATCTCCAAGTACATTGATTACTTTATTAAGCATTTTCTGCCATCACTCCCAGCCTTTCTTCAAGACACCACAGATGTGTTGAACAAAATTAAGGAATTTAACAACATAGGCACAGCTTCATTATTTTTAGTCACCATGGATGTGGAGTTTTTGTAAACCACCACTGAACTTGAACAAGTATTGGCAGCTATGCACCATTCTTGAGTACTCGGCCTGAGACACCTCCCACATAATTAATTGTCTCACTGACTGAATGGACTCTTAATAATAACATCTTTGTCTTCAGAACCTCATCTTTAAACAAGTCAAAGTATGTGTCATTGGAGCTTGCTACAGCCCTTCCTACGCTGGATTGCACTTCGGTAAATGGGAAAATGACTTCTTTCTGGATCCTTCTAAAAACCAGTTCTTTGACCAGATTATATGGTGGGGGCTTTATGTTGATGATGTCTGCCTGTTCTGGTCTGGCTCAGAAGATGAACTTATTTCCTTCCACCAATACCTTAAAAGCATTAACCCTAACATCAAACTAACTATTGAGTACAGCAAAGATAACATACATTTTGTAGATCTTGACATCAGTAAAAATGACAAAGGCTTTATGCACACGTACAACTTTAGGAAGCCTACAAATGGGAATACCATTCTGAGGGCAGACAGTTCCTCCCCAAAAGGCTAAAAGAGAACATTCCTTATAGCCAATTCCAAAGAGTCTGCAGAATTTGCGATCAAATCTGCTGAATTGGAGAATCGCTTCTTGAGCCGGGGTGAAGCAGTCAAGTTCTGAAAGACGCAGGTACAAGGGCCGGACGACTTGACAGAGAGGACTTGTTGCGGAGGGGAACTCCTCGTGATGGACAAGAGAGAGTGTACTTTGTTACAAATTATAAACTGGGTGGTTCAAGCCCTGAATGCTGATTGGCTGAAAGACAAGGTATATCAGACCGTATACCATGGGTGTGACAAAACATTTATTTTTACTATTCTAATTACATTGGCAACCAGTTTATAATAGCAATAAGGCACCTCGGGGTTTGTGGTATATGGCCAATATACCACGGCTAAGGGCTGTATCCAGGCACTCCACGTTGCATCGTGTATAAGAACAACCCTTAGCCATGGTATATTGGCCATTACCACACCCCCTCGGGCCTTGTTGCTTAAATATAGCACAGAACATTAAAATAATATTTAAAAGAGAATTGGGGAATCATCCAAAGTGATCCGCTACTATGCAAAGTCTTCCCAGAGCCACCAGTCATAAGCTTTAAGAGACAAACTAGTCCACAGCTACGTTCCTGGTGACACTCAAAAGACTTGGCTAAACCACAAACCCAGGGGCTCTTTCAAATGCAACCAGTGCAGAAATATTGCACAGAAAAAGTATTTTGTTGACATAGAGTATCAAGTCAAACATTTCATTAACTGTAAAACCAAAACCACCAGCTTACACCATGGTAACCCTGCCTCCCTACAAGCTATGTGTATTGATCATGTTCCGGCCTCAATCAGAAAAGGGGGCCGCCTTAAACAGCTAAACCAAAGGGAACGTTTTTGGTTTTACAAACTACAGGCCACTAAGTACCCTGGTTTAAATGAAGATTTGGATTTCTCACCATTCCTGTAGGGTCTTAGTGGTCCCTTTGCTGTCATCTAGTGAACATATTGCCCGATTGTCCTCTGTTTGGAATGCTGTGGTCCATGTTTGCTGTCATATAGTGCACTATAAAATGTATGGCTCTCCTACGCCCACTCCCATTCAAGGCTAGAACTACTTTGTCTTTTCTAATACTTCTAACTTGAATATGCATTTTTATAACATAGCCTATCTATTTCACTTTTGAATGTACAGTATTGATTACTAGGTGTTGTCCAATGAATATTGACTATTAACTATTCTGTAACCACTCCCTCTTCAATCAGCGTTGATTGGAAAATGCTTGTACTCCCTGACAAAGGCCATGCAGCCGAAACGCATCCGTTTTTAAATCTTTGTTCCATTGAACATGCCATTCAAATAAATACATTTTAATTAATTATATGAAGAGTGCCTTGGTCCTCCTTCCTTTTTGATGACCAATTTACCCATTTTACCAAAGAGCACCTTCTATCTACAAAGATCTATTGCAGGGTTCTTCAATTCCGGTCCTGGAGGGCCGAAACACTTGTTTTTTATTTCTACCTGGTAGTTAATTGCACTCACCTGGTGTCCCAGGTCTGAATTAGCCCCTGATTAGAAGGAGAGGATGAAAAACAGAGGTGTTTCGGCCCTCCAGGACCAGAATTGAAGAACCCTGACCTATTGTTTACCCTAGGAGCGCTTCCCTTCCTTTTTTTCTAACACGTACCTCAAAGGCTGTTGAAGAACGGTGCCACGGTTTCAGTACAAACCATCATGCTACATAGCAAACATTGATGCAAACTGAACGCACCCTTGATCTACTACATTGAGGCTAAAGCTCCGTCCATATGCAATTCCCTCTCCACTTCCATCCACTGCATAAAAATGTCCTTTATAAAAGAGATACTAGAGTGACACCTGCTGGATTGAAGTATTGCAGACCACACCACAATCTACATCATTTGCAGACAGTTTCCTCCACAATCTATTCCTTGGCTAAAGAGCACATTCAATAGAGATCGAACATGTGTTTTTAGTCCAGGAGTAGGCATAACATGGGCCACCCAGACAACCGCACCCTAGAAATGAAAAACCATTTTCACAAATATGTTTTTAAAGGATTAGAGAGAGGAGAGGTTGACAGTTGGAAAAGATAGAGAGAGGTTGTGTCAAAGGGAAGTAGGCCGGATTCGAACCTATGACAACACTGTAGACGTGCTGGAGGCTGCGGCAATACCACTAGAACAACCAGGCCACATGAATAACTCTTACTATAAGCAAGCAACACTACTATTTATTTATTTATATTTCAGTGATTTAGCAGACGCTCTTATTCAGAGTGAACTACATGAGCAATTAGAGTTAAGTGCCTTGCTCAAGGGCACAGACAGATTTCTCACTTAGTCGGCTCAGGGACTCGAACCAGTGACCTTTCGGTTACTGGCCCAACGCTCTTAACCACTAGGCTACCAACCAATGGAACTTATTATTTAGACCTTTTTTGGAAGTACACTGGCCATGACGACAGTTGCTCAGCAAAACTTCATTCTTTGGTAAGTACCTAAAGTATTTCGACATTATTAAACTTGAAAAGTTGGTGAATGGCTGCTTCCTGGGCTTAAAGGAGAATCGCCATATTCAACGTCTCCTGTAAGGCCAGATTCTGGTTCAGGGTGGACCCACCTGTCTCAATCAATGAAAGAAGACTTTAAATAGACAAGATGGCGGCGTACACATTGTTGGATTATTTACTTCATGGAGCAAAACAAGTATTTATTTTAATAACGGATCATTTTCTCAATTCAAACGGAACCCCTGCAAAAGTCAATTTTATGACACTCCGGTTTCCACGAATCAAGGAAGAATATGGTATCACCAAGCTAAGGTTGGTCGAAAATTCTCTCTGCTACACCAAACAGTACCTAACGGTAACCTGTAACTCCCAGTATAATGGATACCAAACAATGTTGGTTAAATAACATTATTTGTGTTACAATCTGTAGCTATGTAGACAGCTGAAAAGCCAGACAGCTGAAAAGCTGATAGCCTAACAGGGCTCTACGCTGACCTTCGTTACATTGAGCATGTGTGCGCCTAAATTGAAAAACATAGGAGCACACAAAGAAATGTATGAGCACAATGCAAGCATGGTGGTCATGAATCTGTGGTGCTCCTAAATTTAAATTCCACGTCGCACAGCAAAATATTTTGGCT